GGGCAGGAGCAGATCTCGGCGAGCACGGCGAGGGCGCGGCGCACGACGTCGTCTGCGGGGTCGGTGAGGCTGCCCACCACGGCACCGAACACCGCCTCCGTGTGACTCGGCATCTGACCAATAAAAATTTCAACAAAATGTACGCAACCGTACGCAAGAAACATTAATGAAATTTCAAATATCTACTTGTATTTTTTATAAGGAAAAAGAAAAAACTTAAACATCGTTGGAAGAGAGCAACCTGAGCCGGCAGAGTGTTGTAGAGGTGCAGGATCCAGTCGAGCGCGGCCACCTTGGTGTGCACGGAGCTGTGTCGCAGCAGCTGCGTCAGCACGCGCACCAGCGCCTCCAGCTGCAGCTGCTCCTCCCCCTCACCCTCCACCTCCCTCGGCTCCGCCACCAGCTTCGTCAGCAGGAAGTTAACCGTGGCCGCCGTTTCCCGTATGTCTGTACTTGTGCGTTAAGGTCGTTTACAAGAAAATAGGTGCAGCGGAGTACGAGTTGCAAGAGCAAAGGATACTCCTCCTGGCGTCGTCGTTGTAGGCGAGGCAGGGCAGCGCGGCGCACAGCACGCCCGAGGCGTAGGGCAGCATGCCGCGCCCCGCCAGCTCCACGAACTCCTTGATCCAGCTGATGGCCGTCAGCTGCAACCACACCTCTCTCTATACCTCTCACAAACAGAAGACGCTCTCACCTCACCTCCACCTCACACTCACCTCAAAACCATTACGAGTTACATTGAAAAATGTATGAGAGAATTGTGCATCTCAAAATAAATAAATACACTTTAGCATTTTCCCACAACATACACTTTTTTCTTTAGAAAGTGTAATTAAACGCTATTTTACTATAAATCCTCATCCCGATTAGAGTGTTCGTTACGAGGAACATATAGGTAGAGGAAGCGAGACATTTGTGCCTCGCTGCCGGACGAAGCCCGGGGATCGTCCCAGCTGCAGTGGTGTAGTTACCTGCACCAGCTCCTCAGGAGACTGCGCATGCGTAATCAATATATTGATCATCGCTTGGAAGTCCACCTGCGACGGGTCCTTCTTGATACTTCTCAGAAACTCATTCAGCTGCACCTCGCACCTGCCAGTTACAAAGTGGACTGTTGAGTGGAGAGGCAGAGCGAGGCGGTGAGGGGAGGGGGTGGGCGTACATGCGGCGTATCTCGGGGTGCGGCTCGTCCAGCATGTGCAGCAGGGGGTCGAGCAGGTCGCGCAGGTGCGGCAGCAGCGGCAATGCGGGCAGCGCGTCCAGCGCCGCCACCCAGCCCGCCGCGAACTGGCGTGCGCAGGCGCCGCGCGCGTACAGCCGCTCGCGCAGCAGCGGCACAAGCGCGCTCACCTCCAACTCCCCGCTCTCCGTCACTATGTCCTGCACAATGTCAATTCATCTTTCGGTCATGTATCCTGTACAAATTTTATAATTCAAATCGAACCACCTTCTCTGTGATCATTTTTTTTTTTAATATTTATTCGTGATGTTAATGTAATTTTGAACATTGTCTTTTCGACTCCGAGATGGCCGCCCCCCAATATATGTATCAAATGAACTGGTACAGTACAGTCCACTATGACAAATCAACTTATAGAGAGCAATGAGCAGCATCCACTCGATATTAATATCTAAGGGAACTTTACAATCATTGATTAAGAGCGAATTTTAGTGAGATAAGTATGTAAGGACCTTGACGAGTCTATCGAGCAGTTCGGCACCCTGGCGCACCTGGGGCTCGGGGTCGGCAGCGAGGCGTGCCAAAGCGTCAAATACGAGGGGGAAGTGCGGTAACGCGGCGCTACGAGCTATCTTAAGCACATTGAATAGGGCCTCTGCAGCCAAGTAGCGCACGCGCGACTCGCCCTCGCGTACACACGCCGCCATCGGGTGCAGCAGCTCGCTCAGATGCGCCTCACAACCCTGCCCACAACACAACACTACATCATCACACTCTCTAATGTATTTATGAAGAAATTATAGTTACAAAATAGGTACCTTCCCCAAACCTACAGCAACTGAGGACAGGCCCATCAAGGCCCCATTCTTTACATTAGGGTTAGTGGATGACATCAGGTCCTGACCCAAGACTCGGATCAACTTCTTTATCTGACTCGAGTTGTTGGCATCATTAAAATCTTTTACCATTCTGTAAGACCAATTTTTTTTATCGAATAATTAATAATTAACTAGTCTACAAAATATATTTACATCAATTGTATCAACAATTTCAGAAATTTAATTGCCATTTATTTGTTAATCAATAATATAAATGAGGACTCAGATTATCCCCACTAATATCGGTGTAATAGTTGTCAACTACATGTTGTACTTCTAAATATAAACATAGATGTGTAAGCACAAAAACACTTTGCTATGCATTTTACCAAAATAGTCCATAAGTAGTTTTATTTAAGTAATAAGACTTTGAGAATAATATAACATCAGGTGAAATAAATTACTTCAACTTCACGTGTCGTCTGTTCGTGCAGTAGCAATATAAAAATTGTTTTCTTTTTATAAATAATACCATTCTTACTTTTCTATTTCGCCGCCTGCAAATTTTCTTTTTTCGTATAATTTATCACATAAACCACGGACACATGCCGAGCTTAGAGGTGCATAATCCTTTTCAGTCATATTTATACTTTCAATATATCAATAATTAACATCGGCACCAATGTACTGCTCCTAAAAACTTAAATAATCTGAAAAAATCATTCATTTCATCGCTGTCAACCGCCAAAGAGTATGTAAAATAAATAATGTCAACCGCCAGGTATATAGCTGCCAAGCAAAACCCGCTTTTTTATGACCTGGTAACATAGACCTTTAGGTCATATCTTATTTGCAAAACCCGCTGAGTCTGTCATATCAAAGAGTAAAAGTCATGTCATCGTGGAACAAAGAGTATATAGTACATTCGGCCTGAAGCAACCGCGTAGCAGCGCCTCTCACACTGATTCAGATAATATCCTTGTATGACCATATAGTCAAACAAGAAAGGCAGCGCTAGTGAATTGTCATAATTTAGTTTGACTCGTGCCCACCGGATCATAGCCTTGTGGGTCTATAGCTATTTATACAGGTTGTCCCAAAAGGTTATGTACATAGGAAGGGGGATGATAGGGGTGGTCACAAGGGTCACCAGAAAAATAAAATAAAAATTCCCCTCTGGGTATTAAAAAAAATAAATGGCATTTTTAAAAACTTAAAAATTTTACACCTTCTGGGGCAATTTTAATTTTCTTTAAAATCTTTGTTATTTGTATTGTTTTTTTTTTATTTCATATTGATAAAGGGTTATTGACGATAACATCATAGCTTTTTTTTAAATATAGCAATATTTGTAGGTTATCGGCAAAGAGTATAAAAAAGTATGAGATATATATAGTATTCTTGGCAACAGGCAGCACAGCAAAATACTCTTTGCCCACTTGTCCACCAGCCTGTTTTCCAAATAAGATATGACCTAAAGGTCTATGTTACCAGGTCATAAAATAATAAAAAATAAACAGCCTAACTGTCACCCGTCACCGTTTGTTATGTGTCAGTCACTTTTACAAATACACTATCTATGGACTCTGATGTGAATGTGTTTTTGTTGTTCACAACCTGTGTTTTTTAATACCGTCTACATAAACTTTCCAATGTCATTAGCTTTAAAACCGGGGTGTAAACTTGCCGTTTACTTATTGTGTTTGCGTTAGACTTTAAATAACTTTCGATATGCCTGTGACTTTGGTAGACAGGTTGCCCTTGCCAAATCTCAAGGTTTACACAGCGGGCAGTGTGTTGCTACTTTCGGTTGCAGTGTATTACGCTGTAAGTGTAACAAACGATCCGAACTGGCGTACCAATACGACTGTGCAGGCGCTGGAGGGCGCGGCACAGGGTCCCACGGGCGATGCGGCCCTGTCCCCGCCGCCGCTGCGGGCGCCACTTCAACTCACCAACGACACCGGGAATGTGACTGAGCAGATGGTTGAAGTAATATCTTTTATGATGCAGGAGCCACTTTGTATTTGGGTGAGTTTAGGATGTATTTTTCACAATTATTGTTAAGAAAAAAGTCTTGTGTATAATAGAAAGAAGTACTATTTAATATTGTCATGTTCTATTGAGTCGAAGCAAGACCTATATTTCCTTTGATCTTTTAAACTTACAAATGTTGTGTTGGGAGAAGGTCTATGCAATAGCTTTGCTACATACATTAGCTATCAATATTGTTAAATCATTTCCAATAAAAATTCGTTATAGTGTAAAGTAAATTTATGTTTGAATGTTTATAACATTAAAGCAACAGCAGCAATTTTTTATGAAGCAAAGCTTGAATTTTAATTAAATATATTAATATGTAAAGTGTCATTTGTGTAACATAATATATGTAACCAGTTGTTGATATTCCATGTTTCATATCACTCATAACAACTCAAAATCAGAGCACTTCTTACTTATAAACCACTGGATGGAGTACTCCATACAATTTCAAAACATAATTAGTGTGTGTGATGTTGTTGTGTCTAAATGTTTACCAGCTGAAGGGATTTTCAGTTTTTAAAGTAACTAAGTAAGTAACTAATAATAAATATATTGAACTTTATTAAAACCTATACATAAAAACTATTTAAGAATACTCATCCTTTAAGTGTGTCCTGACAGTTTACTTTGTTAAAAGGAAATTGATGTCATTAACTAGTGTTATCACTTGACACAATTGTAGAGTGGTAACAATTTTTATTAAATTAATTCTGGTTGATAATGACACCAGTGACAGCTTCAATTATTTGTTTTTAATGACCATACACTGAAATGTTACTTATGACTAACAACATGGTTAGTTGAATAACAGTAAACTGTAAGGGGGCACATTCGGTGTGTGGTGTCAATACATTTATCAAATGGAACTCCATTCAATAGACAATTGAACTTTTCATTCAATCATAGTTGAAGCAATAAATTCCAATCAGGTGAATAGCAGTCCAAGCTGAACCAAATGTATTATATTGTCTTTTTGTATGTCTGTCCACAAGGCTGTGCGTTGTTTTGTTCCCGATAATGTCCGGAATGGAATGGGAGGACACACTTTTCATAAGACATTAAAGGGAGCACCCTTAGCTGATACACATGGGCATATTATAGGCTTCCTTAAAAAATTGTGCTGGCAAAGTCACAGGCGACCATTAGTATTATATAAAAGGGCAATAACAAGTTGAAAATATATTATTTTTAAGATTTAGGTACAGTCAGCGTCATATAGATCGTCACAGACAAGATATGCAAATATATAGGTACACCAAAAGTAATCAATTATATCGGTACAACAAAAGTCCTCAAAATAATAGATACATTCACCCTGCTCAAATACATCGGTACATACACAGCGTCAAATATATGAGTACATGCAAGATGCTCATAAATATCATAGCAGCCACAGCGTCATAAGTAACGAAGCAGTCAAGGTGCGCAAAAATATCGGTACATTTGACAAAATTGAACTCTATCTCTATATACTTGTGATACAATTTGGAATAAACTACTTCTGTTACATTCATTTGACACTTTGTATTAACATATAAAAGGTTTGGTTGTCCGGAAAGTTCGTTCTGATTTTCGATATAAAGCTTACAATAGACTGTAGCTGAAGTGGATTCATTTTCGGATTTCCACCATTATCAAACGTCACAAAAATTTCTATATTGTGAATAATTTCATTTCATTGGTTGAGATAAAAACTAATTTTTAAAATTTTATCCAATAATAAAAGACGTTTTAGGTATAGAGTCGTACCAATATAATTTAAAAACATTTCCAAAAATTTAAGAGAACAGGGTTTCAATTTTCTTTATAAAGCGGCACGAACTTACTGGGCAACCCAATATTTTTCTTCTCCTGTCATAACGCTTAAATATAAAAGTTTGTCACGCCGAATATGACAGATACGTATTAACAAACATCAAATTTTGCCTTGTCACAATATATATAATACTAGTTTGGCGCAGTATTCTAGTATGTTTGCCGTAATATGTAAGTTTACCGGTTCGAATCTCAGGCTACTTTTTTTTTATTTTATCAATCACGGGGTTTTTTTTTCATAACCAGTAAAAATTTGGTAATGTAAAATTTTGCTCGACAATTTTTTTTTTATAATTTTCGCTGTCGGGTAGAAAGAAATTTAAATAAAGTTAACAACAATTAGGTCAGACCATCGCGGGTGAAGTGAGTGGGCGGAGCGTGGATTGTCTTTGCGGGTTTTAAGAATGGTACGCGCGGAAACTATACGTACAAGTGTTATCTATGTGTGCGCGCCCACGCACACTGGAATGTTTATTGCAATCGACCAAAAATTTGATGTAGTTTGGATATTGACATTCAGTTTTTTTTTCTTTGTTTCTTAAATATAATCAGTATCAGTAAAAGGTAAAAGTAAAAGTGTTATTTTTACCGGTACAAGTTTAACAAACATGAGTAACAAACAAATTACATGCCAATAGCATCGCTTTATCTCCTTCATTTTTGTTTGAAATAGAAAAGTACTTTAACGGTCAAACTCATTAGTCCAAGGCAATATCAAAAAGTACCTAATAACTACGGCGAAAGAGTTTAATTACATGTGCTTCGATATTAAAATTAAAAAGTTTAAATATCAAAAAAAAATAGTGGCTTGGGATTTGAACCGCCGACCTTACGTACCAACGGCGGCGAACGGTAAGGCCACGAGACCAAACTAGCATATATGATGACAAACTGATGTTGGTTTTATCTACCTAATATTTGTCATCCGCGTCGAACACTTTTAGTAAATTTTGAAAAATGGTTTGATGCAAAGTGTCAAATGAATGTAACAGAAGTAGTTTATTCCAAATTGTATCACAAGTATATAGAGATAGAGTTCAATTTTGTCAAATGTACCGATATTTTTGCGCACCTTGACTGCTTCGTTACTTATGACGCTGTGGCTGCTACGATATTTATGAGCATCTTGCATGTACTCATATATTTGACGCTGTGTATGTACCGATGTATTTGAGCAGGGTGAATGTATCTATTATTTTGAGGACTTTTGTTGTACCGATATAATTGATTACTTTTGGTGTACCTATATATTTGCATATCTTGTCTGTTACGATCTATATGACGCTGACTGTACAAGCACATCAAGCTTAATTTCGCAGTTTTGAAAAAACCTTATATGTTATATTCTCATTTGGATAAAGTTAAAGATAAAATGGGAGTTTACTCAGATCAAAAAGGGGAAGGTTGAGGAACATTCCCAATGTCAGTGGCAAAGTAAAACTGTTCTGTTTTTAAACATTTTGTGTCTATTTTAAAACTTCTAATGTATGAATAAATCATAAATATTTGTTTGATATCTTTTAAGACAACAAACATGTAAATTTTGTATTTATTTTCTTAGATTTCCTTTTTTAAAAGCAAATTCAGTTCATATTTTTTTAAATCTCATTTCTTGGTACAAAAGCAATAAAAAGTCTGAGTAGGCAATGTGCACAAATGCTTTTTGATCAATGTTATAGATCCAATACAATACAATAATATCATACAACAATTCCTATTATCTTGTGATGTTTCATAACAATCTGTGTTGTTGATGTATTCATTTTCTAACCATTATTACGTATTTATCTGTGAGTAAATGTTGATAAGGTATCGGACTACGTAATAAGAATGCGATAGCTCTGTGAGCTGTTAGCATTTGGGGCTCGCGCAAATGGAGCTAAGTGGAAATAGTTGAACAGACGTCGTCGCATCGTGGCACATGCAGTTGTAAGCATGTCAGAATGGTGGGTTTCTGCGGACGAAAACCATGTCCATAAACATGATAATGGCATCCCCTGTATTATTTTCTCTAAAAAAAGAGATGACATGTTTTATGGGGAGAAGTGAGAGATGATTTCAGCAAGGGAGGAGTGGCGACGAGGTCAAGGTCGGCTGCCAGCTCCGCGACTACTTATATCACGTATACTTTGTTATCGTGTGAAAGCGACAACAACGACGCGACGTGATCGTGTCATTGTCAAACAACGATTGTTTACTTGCGCATCATTTTCGTTGTGAAGATAATAACGTATGCTCATAATACCAATCTAATTATCGTAGCATGGGATGTAAAATTACAGACGAAAACATGTTTCTTTTTTATATTATAGAAAAGCAGACAAAAAGCGATTGCTGTTACACTATTGTACAGACAAATAAATCAGACAACTTATTACTGAAATAATTTTTAGTTTAATCTTTCTAGTTTATAGATTTATAAATCTTATAGATCTTATAAATATATATAGACGCACAGAAAGAAAATATTTTCCCTTCCCATGCATCCTCTCATCCGGAAAGTCCACTTCCACTTGAGGCCTGTCTTCTGTGTGGTCGTGGTATTTCACCGGGCGACCCGGGCCAATTCGTGCGAAGATGTTAAAGCGGGCTCTACCACTGTTAAATATATAGCGATTCAGCAATATTTAACGATGAAACAGTTCCAGTGTATAGCCTTATTTTTTGTGCTTAGTTAACAAATGTTACGATCCAATTTATAACTGCGATTATTAGCTATGTTACTTAGATAGCTAATACAAGAAAAGTAACAGGAATATATTCATATTTGTAGCCACAGTATATGGTGTAGGGAATCATGTTACAACAAAAGTTAAAAGGGTTAATGTAACGGATTTTTTAAAATATTTTTCCCCATATAGTTTCGATCTGGCTATACACCAGTACCGTTTTATCGTTAAATATCGGGAGATAATATTGCAGACGCTGGTAAATGGCGCGTACTGCGCGCTGGGCGTGGCGGGGTGTGCGCTGCGCCGGCTCGTGTTCGGCCGACTGAGGGTTGCGGAGGCGCAGCGAATTAAGGACAAGTTCTGGAACTACGTCTTCTACAAGTTCATCTTCGTGTTCGGGGTGGTGAACGTGCAGTACATGGACGAGGTGCTGCTCTGGTGCTCATGGTTCACACTGCTCGGCTGCCTGCACCTGCTCGCTCAGCTCTGCAAGGACCGCTTCGAATATGTGAGTGTCTCCTTACCTGCTATCAATAAATTGAAACACGACATCTTAGGGCTGTGACACGTCAATTTGTGAATAGTTATATTATACAATTTGCCAACTCTTTACGATTGGCCAGGCCTAGTCACAAACGGGCGGATTACGCGATTTACCGGTGACATATATAAAACCGTTACCGGTTTTTACAAAAAAAAAAAGAAACTTGTGGCGAGAAATGAAGTGCACAATTGATAAAAGTAAAGGCAAACGACATGAGGGTGAGCGAGTGGGGTCGACGCACTGCCGACAAAACATTACACGATAATGAATTATTTCAAGTACCACATTAACACAACTTTCCCATTTATTAGGCAATTGATTAGTCTGTCAAAGAAATACTGTCGCAACCGCCATGTGCTCCGCTCCACCTCTACTCTAATCTGCACTACACTTTCATAAAATATAGCTCTATCGATACCAATTTGAAGGAACAACTGTTTTTTCCATATTGTATTTTGTCGATTTTATATTTTAGTTTGTATTGTAGTTTATATACATATCTAATTTCTTAAATAACGAATCAAAAGCTTTGTTGTTATTCAACTAATGATTCACTAATTAAATTTTGATATAATTTTCATTTGTTTTTCGTTTTGTGCTATTGTTACGGTGGTGCGGGGCGGAGCAGTGACACATTTACAATGCAAAATATGTGGAAGATTGGATGCGTCACGTACATGATATACGCAACGTATTTTTTTCCTTTATTCAAATTAGAGTAAAATTAAAAATTACATTAGTATTTGATGTCTGTCTTTCATCTTTGACAAAACAGATATAATAAATATGTTTTAAATGGGGATTTTGTAGTCAGAATAGAACCCAACGGTTATAATATCATCCTTACTAGGTACGTACTTATACGTACGTAATTATTGAGGTAAAATTAATAAATGGGGTGAGTGTGTTTGAATAGATTTAGTGAATTTGCATGTAGATAAAGTTGTTGTTAGAATTAATAATGTATAGGAGAATATCGTTTGTTAGCTCAAGCACCGTTATTTATACACGAGAGACGAGAGGTACAGTTAGGCGAGCGGCGAGCGGCAATCTTGCGCACTACCTTCGGCAGACTCGGCCGCAAGTAAACTATACTTCTATTAATCAATTATTCAAACTTCCGTCAGACATTATAATAAACTTATATAAAAACGGCTAAACACTCACGTATATTCGTCCGGTGGCTGCACCGACTAGTTTCGAGCCCATCGGGGGCCCTTCATCAGGGTGAATGGGACTGGTATTATTTCGCGGAAGCGGCCCCCAGCTCACTCAGTGCCCCTTCGTCTCGTTGCTAGGCAACACATTGTTTTATATTAATATAAAGTATATTATATATATACATTAGATGTACACAGATCAATAAAATTGGAAAGTCATACCTACCTACATATCTATAGAAATATATAGATGAAAATTTTGAAGTAGAGCTGTAATGTTAACTAGTGGCATCTGCTAGCAGCTGCGGCAGCGCCTGCCGGCGGGCGTCGGGACACGTTCGCTGCACTCTGTGCCCACTGCTTTATTAATGCACATCATCTAATTGTAATGTTTGCGGACGCGGCCGTTAAAAGTAAACGATTTAGCCAAACCAAAGTACCTATGTTATATCTCTTCTGTTTGTGGTAGTGTTGGGTATTTAACGGAGCATGCGTTACGGTGTTACAGCTGTCGTCGTCGCCGCAGCCGGCGCGGTGGGCGCACGCGCGGCTGCTGGCCCTGCTGGCGGGCGTGCTGGGCGCGGCGGGCACGCTGCTGGCGGCCGCCGCGCGCTGGGGCCTGCCCGTCGGCCGGGACACGTTCGCCTTCATGGCCGCCGAGGTAGGTGTGCACCCCACACATGGGTGGGGGCGAGCACCCGCGGCGCGCTCGACTCTGACGCGGTGCGGTCGTGTTGCAGTGCGTGCTGGTGGGCGTGACGGCGCTGCACGTGGTGGCGCGCTTCGTGCTGCGCGCGCGCGACGCCGACCCCGCCGGCCCCGCCGCATACTATACGCACCTCGTATTCGACGTGGGTAACGCTTCTCGAAACTCTTAGCGGGTAATCCTCGTACCGTCGCGATATGTTCATGAGGTGTTCGATGTGTTGTGACGCGGCGCAGTCGGTGTCGCTGGCGACGGAGCTGGCGCACGTGGCGCACATGGTGGTACACTGCAACGCGTTGGTGTCGATGGCCTCGCTGGTGCTGCTGATGCAGCTGCGCCACCTGCTGCACGCGTTGCTGGCGCGCCTGCGCCGCCATCGCATCTACACCGCGCTCGCGCACCACATGCGCCGCAAGTGAGTGCCCCTCGCCCCGCCCCCGCCCCCGCCCCACTGAGACATCGCTATGTACGGTTGCCGTGTCGTGTGCCGCAGCTACCCGATGGCGAGCCGCGAGGAGGTGGAGGAGAACGAGGACAACTGCGCCATCTGCTGGGAGCCCATGAAGGAGGCGCGCAAGCTGCCCTGCTCGCATCTCTTCCACAAGTATTTACCTTCATTACGTTTCCTTCGCACTTTTTTGCTTCGTATTTGTTTAGTTTGCAGAAAGCAGAAAGCAGAAAGTATTGCGAAACTTGGCGTTGTATTATTTGAGCGAGGCACGTCGTTCGGTGGCGCAACCGTCGCGCCGGCGGTTGTCGCGCACCGAGCTCGTGCAAGCGGCGCGGCGTGTTGCAGCTCGTGCCTA